GATAGATAGATAGATAGATAGATAGATAGATAGATCGATAGATAGATAGATCGATAGATAGATAGATAGATAGATAGATAGATAGATCGATAGATAGATAGATAGATAGATAGATAGATAGATAGATAGATAGATAGATAGATAGATAGACCTCTCCCTTCTCATGTCTTCGCTGATCCGGAAGATCGCCGTCTGCTTGTTTCCTGTTCATGTCAGCAGACATCACTGTAACCCCCACTGCCACCCACTCGGCGATAACGGATATAGCCACCGGGGTATTTTCAAAAGGGCAGCTATGTTGTTTTTTTTAGTAAGAGTTATACGGCACCTGCAACACAATCAGGTCATATAAGGGCCGAAGATTAGAGGTGTTACAAGAGAGTAACAAACACAAAAAAGAAGGAGAGGAGATAGAAACGATAGGTTTTTTATAGGGAAGAAGGAGCAAACCACACCAGAGCACCCGCCAACCACCCACGCAGCTATGCTTAACCTTTACTGATACATGTACTTACTGTATAACCTCCTTGGTCTACCCACACGGGGAGCATGTACCAGTTGCACCTCAACACGTTAACTTCGAACGAAACCCATCAATGGCAATATAATAGTGAGACACCAGGGCGTGTTTGTTTTTGTGAGCGTTTTAAGAAGGAAGTTGCAACACAGATTAGCCATATAAGTGATGAGGATTAGAGCTGTTACAAGGGAGTAACAAACTGTTTGTTTTAGTGAGTGTTTTAAGGCACTTGCAACACAATCTAGCCATATCATATAAGTGCCGAGGATTAGAGGTGTTACAAGGGATTAACAACTTTTAAAAAGCAAGAATACAGACAGAAGCGATTGACGTTTAGTGGAAAAGAAGGAACAGACCCAACCAGAGCACCTGCCAACCACGCACACCCCAGAGTGTGAGTTTAAAAAGGATCGCATCGACACAACAACGGTCACATGAGATGCCATAGCGTGTTTAATTTCACAAAACAAACGCGTTAAAATAAAAAATGATTTAATTTTCTTTAAATGACGTACCCTGTGGGAGGATCCGTGAAGATAGCTTGACACCCTGGAAAAAAACAGAAGAGAGAAACAAGGGTGAAAATTTGGCGAGAAATCCAATAGTATACGTAAATCTAAAAAGACGAGAAAAAAAAATCAAAGAATGAAAAAACAACAACCCGGAAACTACGACCATGAAGACATTTGAAGTTTCAACTAAAGCGAATGCGCTGTAGTTGTGAATAGGAGAACGAGCTTTTGTTGAAGAAGTTTTTGGGTTGCTTTTTTTTTTTTAGTTACTACCGTTGCCTGTTTTGTTTCGTTTTTTGTTTTTCGTACAAAATAGTTGCGCATTATGTTTACTTCTGCAGCAACATTTAGATAATAGTTATTGGTGTCGTTGCTAGTAGTTGATAGTCTTTGTTGTTGTCTCTTTTGCCAATTCGTATTGTTATTGTTTCGTCCTTTTTGTTAAAGGAGTGTCACAGGCAGACGCCTATTCTTTCTCTCTCTCTCTCTCTCTCTCTCTCTCTCTCTCTCTCTCTCTCTCC